TCGGCTCTTAGCACCGTCTCCCCCCCCCAGAATGTTCTCTTTTCATCTTTATAGTCCCTTTGCCCAACTCAATGCCTAGCATATAGTAGGTGCTCATAAATGTGCCCTTGGATGAATGAATGAATGAATGAATGAGCAAATGAACCAGCCCTTGATTTACTCTTCTCCATCATCCCCTCCATCCAGTCACTTTCCATCTGAGCCTCAGTTTCCCCATCTTTAAATTATCCGCACGGTCCTGCTGGCCTGCCTCCAGATTGTACATCATGTGCCCGTCTTTAAAGCCACCACCTTTAAGGGGTGCTGGGCATGGCTGTGGTTATGCCAGCCTGGGCCTATATTCACGGAACAGAAGTAGCCTCTAGGGATGGTCAGTTTAGGTGGGGAGGGGAGAAACCCCCCTGCTGCTGAGAGGCTGGAGCAGGAACAGCAGGGGGCCTGGGGTCAGGCGGTCCTAGGTTCCAACCCTCTCTGGCTGTGTGACTTTGAGCAACTGCTAAAAATGTCTCTGCGCCTCAGTTTCCCCATCCATAAAATGGACCGTAATAGCCACCCTTCGGGGTGTCCGACGGAATAAATGAGACCACGTTCCCTAAAACCCAACGTCGATGTAGAAAGTGGTAACAATTAAGAGCGCTCCCCAGGCCCCCTCCGCCCCACCTCTGTCCCAGGAGCGGAGGTCGGAGCTTGCCCGTGGGGCTGTTGGGTTCCTAGCCTGCCCCACCACCTCACCCATATCCCCCCCCAAGCAGACATCCCCGCGACATGGGTTCCTTTCCCGATCATCTGGGAGGGGAAGGGCCTGGGAGGCAGGGCCTGCCCAGCTGTGACAGAGTAGCCCCGGGTTCACCCGGGAGGACAGAGACTGGGGTGGAGCCCTGGGGCCCTTTGTCCCGCCCCCTCGGGGCCCAGGCGGCAGGTGGCCGCTCCCGGGAACTGTCCCCCCCAGCCCCCCCCACCCCCGAAGCCGGCTCACCGCCCTCGCGCAGGGCACCCCAGCCAGTGATCCAGCAGTGCAGGCCGGGCTCGAAGAAGTGGGAGCGCGCGGGCAGGCAGACGGGGCGCACGGCGGGCGAGCGCACCACGGGGTGGTCGAGCTGCAGCAGGGCCACGTCGTAGTCGTGGCTGTCCTCCTCGTGGTAAGGGTGCAGGAGCAGGCGGCTCACCTTGAAGGACACCTCGCCCGGCCAGCGCGAGCTCTGCCACACCTTGCCCAGGAACACGGTCCACAGCGCCGGGGAGGCCATGCTGGGGGTGGGGAGGGGGTGCGTCCTCGCTCAGCCGCGGCCTCTCCGGTCCCA